CGAAGCAAAAGGAAGATCTAATAGATATTAATTAAATTATAAATATATCAATTCATGTGAATATGACTGAAAATTTCCATTTTTTCTGAAAAGGTGGTGTCCACTTACTTGTGACCACCCTGTGTACATCCTTAGTTGTGACAACAAAATCCTAATATTTGTCAGTAAGTTACATGACATCATTTAATAATACTTCTTATCATGCTGAACATAGTTAATTAAGTTAGTACATTGCTAATAATGTTTTGCTACACTACATGTACATCAGTAGTAATATTTTGCCATAGTGTATCGTATACCTATTCTTTTAACATTGGTCTCTTCTATATCATTAATTCTTTAGTAATGTTTGCTTGTCCTAATACAATAATAACAGTGGAATGTATTTTCCATCATCCTATTATTAATTTTGAATATCCTATACTTTTGTACTGTTCAGTCTGTTTATTTATTCGAATATTTTTTATCAGAACTGTGCAATTCATTCCAAGAGTAGTAGCCTGATCTTGTTTTTTTTTTTCTCCTGTTAGCTCTTACTTCTGTTTTACCTAATTAATTTTTATTAAATTTCAGAAGCTTGTTTTTAGTATCTTTTCTTTCCTATGTGCTATCTTCTGATATAGATGTTACTGGCCTTTCTTTTATTCTAGGTTTAAATTCTCTTACTTCCGAATATTTTTAATTGCCGTTTTAGTCAGTGTCTTGATTTTTTTTTATGTGACCAAAACTTTAAACTGTTACATTAACTTGTATTGTTACATATGGGTATTTATCATTTCTCAGCCCTTAGTTTTTATATTTTACTTCATTTCTGTTTTGATTCTAAAATTAATTCTCTTGGGGAACTTTATTTTAAGTTTTTTGTATACTAAGATTGTAGTTACTGTGTCAATTATGGGATAATGTTTTAGTATCCATTCCTGAGTTTCTTTCAGGGCAAATTCAAGTATTTCTCATCCAAACATTTGTTTCTTAAATTAACAAATTCATTTTAAAAATTGTTAGTTTATTAATTCAGACTATATGGAAATGCAGATAAATCCAGTTTGATTAATAGGACGTCTTAATGACTCATTTTATCATGATAAATACAATGTCCTCTTAACTACTTGGTGTTAAATACATATAGCAGAACAATAATTGATGTAATTACAGGTTTGTATTCTAGATAGTGAAATGTGTTGGAGTCTATGTTTGAAGTAACAACAGGTTTGTATTCTAGATAGTGAAATGTGTTGGAGTCTATGTTTGAAGTAACAACAGGTTTGTATTCTAGGTAGTGAAATGTGTTGGAGTCTCTATGTTTGAAGTAACAACAGGTTTGTATTCTAGGTAGTGAAATGTGTTGGAGTATTTTGTTTGAAGTAACAACAGGTTTGTATTCTAGATAGTGAAATGTGTTGGAGTCTATGTTTGAAGTAACAACAGGTTTGTATTCTAGGTAGTGAAATGTGTTGGAGTCCCTATGTTTGAAGTAACAACAGGTTTGTATTCTTGGAGTATTTTGTTTGAAGTAACAACAGGTTTGTATTCTAGGTAGTGAAATGTGTTGGAGTATTTTGTTTGAAGTAACAACAGGTTTGTATTCTAGGTAGTGAAATGTGTTGGAGTCTCTATGTTTGAAGTAACAAC